CGATTTAATAAGCCATCTGCATCCTGTCACATCAAAGTTGACAGACCGTATTGCGTTCTTATCTTATCGCTTCCCAGGATACTACGCCTTGGCTTTCTGATCGTTATCAGCCAACACCTGCGTTATTGCATCAGTCGTGTCAAAGTTGACAGCGCTGTACTGCGTTCTTATGTCTCTGGTAACTTCCCCTAGTTACATATATATATATATATATATATATATATATATATATATATATATATATATATATATATATATATATATATATATATATATATATATATATATATATATATATATATATATGTGTGTGTGTGTGTGTGTGTGTGTGTGTGTCGGCCTACATAGGCCTAAAGTTTATATATATGCCACATACTGGTACACGTACGTGTTTAAGCTTTAATCACTTCTGACTTAATAGTAACGATGTTTATCTACAGTCTGTTTATAATACAGTTGGATGTAGCATTATTTTCTTTATAGTTTACGTTTACGTCGTGGTGTCACCCCCCCCCCCCCCCTCTTGATATAATTTTCGATTTGTACTTAGAAGACTATTTAACTTTAACTAATGGACCTGGAAAATGGCATTTCATTCTATAAATTTTACAATTTTTTGCCTTTGGTGTCACCCCCCCCCTAAATGGTGTCACCCGTTGCGGTCCGCACCCCCCGCCTCGCCTTCGCTACGCCTCTGCGTTAGGCTACAGAGGAGTTAAACGAAGAGATCAACTTCTACTTACGATGGATATTTTTTAATATATAAATATTCTGAAGGCAACATTTTGTATTTTATATGACCTGATTTTGTATTTATACTATATTATTATGCTTGCCTACTACTGCTAAAAAGTTTATTTATAGGCTGATTCTCTCAATGTCTTGCACGACAAAGTGATATAGCCTGTAGTGTTATTATAACGATTGGGCTCTGTTTGACCCACAAACACTGAATCCCACTTTTTCTTTTTTTTAATTATTTATATGTAACAAATATTAAAATTCCATTGTAAAAGTTTTAATTTTTATGAGGGAAAAGGGCCCCTATGTGCCTTGGGCCCTCATGCCTTGCTTACGCTAGCTTTACGGTAGCTACGCCACTGTGTCAGTGGTCCTTTTGTCTGGAGCCAAATTGACAGGAGCCTTTTTGTCGGGAGCCAAAATGACGCTAGCCTATTTGTCGGGAGTCGTAATGACGGGGGCCGTTTTGTGGAGAAACTAAATGGCGGGAGCCTATTTGTCGGGAGTCGTAATGACGGGGGCCGTTTTGTGGAAAAAACTAAATGACGGGAGACTATATGTCGGGAGCCAAAATGACGGGAGCCTATTTGTCAGGAGCCCTATTGACTGGAGCCCTTTTGTCGGGAGGCTATATAACGGGAGCCTATTTGTCGGTAGCCTAAATGACGGGAGCCTATTTGTCGGGAGCCTATATGACGGGGTCCATATGTCGCTGGCCTGTTTGACGGGGCCGATTTGACGGGGTCGTTTTGACGGGGTCGTTTTGTCGGGGTCGTTTTGACGGGGCCGTTTCGTCATTGGCCGAATTGACGCCGCACGGTGATTAACGTACTCTCAAGGCGGTAGTGTATGTAAACCTGCGCTCCGATAAATATGAACGAAAAGCAGGCATTGTTAAAATGATTCAGTTTTCCAAAACAAGATCATACGTCTAAGAATATAGGATTGATAACGCATTGATGAAACCCTTGTTTCCAACCCCGCGCCAACACATGGGGTCAGGCAGCTAATATATATATATATATATATATATATATATATATATATATATATATATATATATATATATATATATATATATATATATATATATATATATATATATATATATATATATATATATATAAATAAATATATATATATATATATATATATATATATATATATATATATATATATATATATATATATATATAATGGAGTAAGGGTTTTATCGTTATTCCCCTGTTACACAATTGTAGAATACGGTTTACTAAAAATGGTTTTTTATTGTTGTGCATGCCAAAGTCACAGAAACTTTATTTTTTTTTCACTACCTCATGGATCACCCGAACTCTTAGTTAAATTTTAAGACATTAAACTGTAGATTTGTTTAATTTTCGCATTTCTTTATAATCACTATAAGCAGTATCACGCTATTGCATAGTTGATCCGTGTAATCATCTAGTCTTGGATATAACATGTTAATTAACACTGCTTTACATTAGATCGCAGATGAAGGAGAGCCTGCCTTCTGTAACACACAACCATCTGGTTTAACTGGCTACAACCAATACTGCAGTGTTAGCAGCCAGTGTGTCACGGGAAATTGCACGGATTCAAAATGTGTATGTGATGTTGGGACAACGTTCAGCACTTGCGCTGTTGCGTGTGTTCCCGGTGAGTTCAAGTCATTATTTATACATGCTATTGTAAAAAACAACAGGTTTAATGTAGTTTTGAAATCGTATTATTTTACATGTACACTTTACGCCAATATACAACAATGGCACATATATGCTTTTGGGGTCAACACAGAGTTTGACATTTCATAATTGTGATCGTAAGTCTCAGCCCCTCTCGCTAAAAATTCGAAATCTCGTTAGCCCGGGAGAGCTATACATTTTCAAACTTAATTAAATTTTTGAACTTTATTCTCATTTATTTCTTTCTAGGCCTTGCTTTAATATTTTAAAATACCACGAGTACCCAAAATGCAACAATTATATTTTTTTTTACTAAAGATACAATTACATTATGTACCCGTAGGCCTAGTATATTAATATTATATTACTCTTTTAACTTCGTTACGGGCACTTGTTACGAATTCCCTATAATAATAACTAACTGTACGCTACTTTAAAAAAAACACAAATTAACGTAAACAATATTTTTCTTAATAATTAACTATACAAAAGCAGTAGTAACTTTTCTATACATCTATTTTTTATCGATCTTATAAAAATAGTCTTAATTACTATAGGTTTGAAAAAAAGAACTAGCTAGCAAGTAGAAGAACGAGAATTTGATGACGTAGGGCCTACGTACTGGTACCATTGAATCAATGCTATTTCCCAAATTTATTTTAGAATTTAAACTATACATGATTTTTGAGGTTTTTGTAGGGTTTGAATGTAAAATTTTACAAAATGCAAAGAAAGGGGTGGTCGAATAGTAGGTTATATATACAGTGTTTCTAAAGTGGCTGGGTATTGTCTCCGTCAAAGATATGCATAGGCACTTTGGCCTAATCGATGTGAAGATAGTCTCCTTTATTTTCGAACACACTTCTATGCAATTGTCTGCGGCGTCAAATCGGACCGTGACAATTGACCTCAGTTTCAGAGCCTCGTTAAACGTTAAATTGACCCGCCAAAACGAGCCAGTGTACTATTTGTTGCACACATATGGGTGTATGTTCATTTAAATAGAACACCGAAATTGAGCTTATGTAACTTTTTATAACTTTACTTACACCAATTAGACAATTAAAATTGGAATAACCCTTATTTTCTTTTGAGATAATTAACGTTTTTTTTTAAAAACGTAAATGAGTTTTACATGCATCTCTCGGTGAAACACTTGTGTACACGATGGTTTAGAATACGTAGGATAAACGTTTTTTTTATAGAAAATTTAAATTCGACTTTAAACTTCATATAAGGGTATATGCGTACAAACTCCGCTTACAATGTGTGAATAGATTTATTGATATTATTTCTCAAAGATTTACGATTCAGTAATAAAAATAAAATCCACGATAGGTTGCGCCTAACCACGTCGTCTAGGTAGTCATCTTGTTGCTATTTAATAATAAATTAATTGCTATTTAAACAAAGCAATCGAATGTTATCCTTCGTTTACTTTAGTTGGAATTATTTGTTGATTTAAAATTAAACAGCACCATTTTCGATTTTATAGAGTGCAACAGTACAGTGACAACTACAACAGGAACAATAACCAGCCCAGGTTATCCCTCGAGTTTCGCAACCTACTGCACATGGTCCATTCAAGGATCAACAGGGACAGTCATAGCTTTCGAGTAATGTTTTCACATTATATGGTTTTATTTTTTAAAAATCTCCTTTACTTATCTTATTTTAAAATGTATCTACTCTGTTTATTTGTAGTTTATTTGCATTTTAGCTTATATCAATTCGTTTACTGTTTTATTTGACATTTTATAACTCCATTTCGTGATTTTAATACTTGTAGAGAATTTGGCACCGATAGTCTTATCGTGTGGCGAAGTTGTATGAGTACAAACAAACCGTAGATAATATTTATACTTTAGCATTCGTTGTAATATTATTTTAGAAATAAATCAATATTTAAAATTGAAAGCGAGTTGCCCAGATTTTATTGTATAATCGGTGAATAGCCTGTCAAACCAAATTTTTAAAAATGTTTTCAAATAATAAGGCCTAAATTTGAGTTGTTTAAATAAACTACGTGTGTTTTAATATATAATTAAATAAAAACAAATTAATTATAAGCTAAGTTTTTATTATGATTGGGTTTATAAAAAATCTAACTAAACATATTTCTTAAAATGCATAACAAAACGTTTTAATAACAAGCTTCTATACAATAAAGCGCCAAAAAAGAAGAAAATAAATGATTTTCTTTAAATATATAATAATACACTACTATTTTAATAACTATAAAGAAAAGCGAAGGTATCAATAGTCTTATTATCTATAGGATACCTTTACTAATATTTAGGAAGAGAACCACGCTTTGCGTTATAGTTATTAAATTTTTTTTTATTATTATATATTTAATGAAAATCCTCTATTTTCTCCTCAATGTGGGTATAATAGAGCAGAATATTAGTGCTTTATAAACAAAAAATTGATTACTTTTTAAAAAAGTTGATCAGATATATAAATTAAGACATCCTATTTCACAAGGAATTGTCTTAATGTTATCAATTTTGTTATTAATTTTTAAAATGTGTTTTATCTTTTAATTTTATTTTTACTTTAAGTTTAAAATACATGAACACAAGTACAGTCATCAGCTGCTCATCGGACTACCTGCAGATTTTTGACGGACCTTCGACGTCACCCAGACTGTTTGACAAAATGTGTAGAACATGGGAAAAACTCACAGTGTCAACAGGAAATAACATGCACATTGAGTTTAGGACAACAGGACGTTTAATGTTTATCGCCACATTCAAAATATATGGTACGAGCCGGCCCGCGGCATAACATACGCCGCTATTTAGTTGTTTCTAATTTTCAATAATTCATAATTTGTGAATTCGACAGTACCAACGCTGACACTGAAAATATTTCTTTAAAACACTATAAGTAGCTCGTTAAGGACCATAACCCCCCCCCCCTTTCCTTCCCCCCCCTACGTTTAAAATCGTTGGCTCTGCTTGTAAACATTTAGAGTGAACACAGCTCACTAAAACCATGTAGGGGTGGGGAGGTAGGGAGAGCGTTTGCAGCTTGTTTTCTAACGGCTCGAAGAGGAGAATTATATATATATAGATTATATAACCCCATATAATCATATATATATATATATATATATATATATATATATATATATATATATATATATATATATATATTAACTTTATCTTAAACTAATTTTATACATTATAAATTACATATTTTTCCTGTTGCATATACGCTATTTGAACATAACACCATACAACACTACATAACAGGGAGTGACATCAAAATGAATAAGCTTAAAAATATGTTAATGTAAAACGTTTTACAGCGGATAATGAACATATACTTCGGTTTTTACAAGTATTTTCAAACTAGGAATATAGCTTATGTTAGATCATTTTAAAATGTACATATGACTACCACTTGCAATGAAATATGTGTAGTGTATTAAGATTTTCGTATTGTATTTTTATCCAATCTATTCGATTCTACTGTGTAAAACAGAAAGACACTGTACACTTTATGAGTCTGGCAAGTTGGCAAGTCCTGGATATCCCTTACAGTATTTGAATGATCAGGAGTTTTCATGGACTCTATCAACTCGTACTGATACACGTCTCATTCTAAAGTAGATCATCCTTTCACACGCCTTTCAAAACGAGGTACCAGAGGCGTAGCGAGGGGGGAGCGGGGGGGACATATGTCCCCGGGCGCCGACCTTAGGGGGGGAGCGCCAAATTGAAAGTTTGAGGGGGGTGCAAATGAAAAGTTCGAGGGGGGGGGGGGTGCAAATCGAAAGTTTGAGGGGGGGGGTGCAAATGAAAAGTTCGAGGGGGGGGGGGGGTGCAAATCGAAAATTTGCTCCCGAGGGGGGCGCCTAATTGAAAGTATGTCCCCGGGCGCCGGGAAGGGTCGCTACGCCTCTGCGATGTACCAAAAATCAGTGACAGTGTACAAATCACGCAACCCATTAAAATGTGTTTTTTTCTCTTAGCATATCGTTTGTGGATACAAAGTATTGTGGCACAGACTATATCACCGTGTATGACGGAGCTACTAAGAATGCTGCAAGTTCTAAAAATGTTTGCGGTACTGGAGGCTCAGAAGTGATTGTATCGTCAACAAACAACCTGTTGGTCACTTTTACAACAAATAGTTACAATACTGGCAAAGGATTTTATGGGGAGTTTTATTCACACAGTAAGTAAATAATAACATTTTCTATTTGTACATTCGTAAAAAAATTCCAGAAAGACACTTACCCGAGTTTGAATTTGCCGAATACTGGTTGCCCAATACCTCTATTTTCCAAAAGTAACTTGCACGAAAGCCATTTTATTAAGTAATACTTGTAAAATTATGAAGATTAACTCTTTGTATCTATTTAACCGTCGAAGATAGTGAGTTTACCAAATAAATTACTTTAACTATTGAACAGGAATGTTAAAAGTAACTTTGCAATTTTAACGTTAATAGCCGAATCCCTTGAAAAATTGTCTCAGTGACCTAAGTAACGAAATTGTTTATCTGATACATAATTACTTTATTTAATTTAGCAATGCATCAAATACTAATTGTTAGTCAATATTAATAAGTAATTTCTGAATAAAGCTCAGAATACATTATAGTGAAATTTTTCTTTTATATGAATATGTCCTTGATTTGTTTTTTTCATTACCTTTAATTAAAACTAGAAAACGAAAATCAAAACAAAAACAAAAACAAGTAAGAAATGTCGTGACTCTTCCGTACTGTGCTATTAATGCAGCAAGAACATAATTTGTATATTGTATCAAATCACGCCTTTTCTCCAACCCATCCAATATTCCTACACTAATACAAAATCAAGAAGATGCTGCCATAAATGGTTAATGAAATATTTATTTATTTGTCTAACAAATATTCCATTGTATAGGTAGATTTAATTTTTTAATCTCGTGTCGCCTGAAACAGACTGTATTTGGTAAATTGTGTTTGTAGTGAAACGGATGTGAGATTTGAATACCTGGCCAACGGAAGGGAATGCGTGAGCGATCAATCACTGTATTTTGCATGATTTTTGGAGATCGCTCACTGACTGAATGGAGTGAATCTAAGGGGGGGGGGTGCGGATCGCACCGGGTGAGACTATTCAGTGGGGTGACACCATGGCGAAAAGTTGCAAAATATGTAAAAGAAATATACTTTAACCAGTTGAATTGATGATTAATTAGAGTTAATCCAACCATATTAAAAACTAACTATAGATCTTTACTATTAACTGTGTACACTTTAAAACTATCACTAGAGGATGTGGTGGAGTTAGGGAGTGTAATACAAAATACAAAATTTACAGAGGAAAAAAGGTTTTGTTGAGTATTGGGAGTAACTGACAAAGTCAGGTGGTGACACCAAAATTAATAATTTACGAAGAAAACGATACTTTTTCCACATGAATTTATTGGTGGATTAATCTAATGTGCGCTCAAATTGAGGCCATTTTGGTAAAATGGGAGGGGGTGATACCGATTGAAACTATATATGTATATATATATATATATATATATATATATATATATATATATATATATATATATATATATATATATATATATATATATATATATATATATATTTATATATATATATATAGTGACGCCACTGATCTCTATCACTCTCTGTCTCTATTACTAATATTATTTTTTTGTACGCTGGAGTCGAACAGTACTTATGTATACAATTAAACCAGCGCTTTCATCGTAAACTAATTTTTCAACTTTGTTTTATCCGTTGTCTGGAAAGTTTTAACACTTAAAATGATAAAAGCATTCTTATTGAGTAAGGTTTTTACTTTTCTGTCACCCTTACCTTTATCGACGAATGAGGTATATTACTTCAATTAGCTAAAAGATTAGTCAAAATCAAGTATACTACTCGGTAAATTTCAAAACTGTATAGTTAACGACTGTTTTTACACCCGCTTTCAATCCCCTCCCCCTTTTTCGTGATTGCATTCAATTGCCTTTGTTTAAATGCTTATTACTAAAGTTTAATTAAATAAATTACATTTTTTTTATAATCTGGAGTTTCAGCTAATCCGCTTTACTCGGGCAAATTTATTTCGCTCGAACCTTGAAGTTTATATTTTATACAGTTTATTTATTAAAATAAAATACAACTCTCAAAGCAAAACGTGCTTTGATGAAGATATATTCTGTAAAATGTGAGATGCGTAAAATTAATAAAAGCAACTTTATTGTTCCAGCTTTAAGTGCGATTTGTACGGTTTATCAAATTGTGTACATCTTTGAATTTCCTGTATCTTATAGTACAAAAAATATAAAACAAATGACTAAGGATTAATTAGTTCTCAGACGAACCCTCGACGTCTTCATTTGGAATCAGTAAATGTGTAGTTATTCAATTTATTTTACTCAAAATTTGCTCTTTTTCAATAACAAACAACATGGTCAATTTATTTACGAGGGTCAATAGATTAAAACTTAACCGGCATAATGCAGCCTAACAAATGTAATTCATACGGTAATAATGTATGGACTGATTAAAAAAAAATATTTAAAAAAAAGGCAAATATTTCTACCGAATTTTGCTGACAAATTTAAATACGTTATTGTTAAGAATATATTTACTACAAACATTTTTCAACTTCTCTATGTTATAAAACTTTGAAAACCGTAATTAACATTGTTTTAATTTGATACATTTCATAAAATTAGAACACTCAGGATTTTTGGAAGTATTTTAAGTATAATATGATGTTTTAGTACTGAGAAGTAAGGCAAAGGCTGTAATTACAAAAAAAATACATTGTTTTATTCTATCTTGTTGGTTGTACATTTTTCCCCTCTAAATTCTTAAATATTATCTATGTGAATTATTTACATAGAAAATAGTCTTTAAAATTTAGCGACTATTAAAACTTATTTAAGTAAATTGTGACAATCACAGATAGTAGACCAATCACACTGAACGAGTCTCAAGGTAACATCTCTAGCCTTGGATATCCATTTGCCAACCTGGAGAACATGGTATACACCTGGACTATACTTAGCAAAGCTGATAGTTACATCCTCATAAAGTAAGTTGCCGTTGTTTTAATGTATGGCTTACAAACATGCAAAAAGGCACGTATATTATAAGAAGACACAAGTTTACAAATTCAATAAATGCCGTCAAAATGTTAACAAGTTAAAATTACCATTCATAATTTCTATTTAAAGTATTTCAGATTTTGAATTAGGGGATAAATGTCAGTACGATTACCTAAGAATATATGACGGACCCACAACATTTTCACCGATGTATGGGGATTTCTGCTCGTCAGTACCACCAGGGTTAATGGCTTCAACGGGAAACTCTATGTTTGTCGTCTTAAATACTATTGGCGCTAACATGTATAAAGGCTTTTATGGAAATTATGAGATAAGAGGTGAATGTTTTGATACTATACCACACGATATGATAATGATTAGATATTGGCAAATATATATATATATATATATATATATATATATATATATATATATATATATATATATATATATATATATATATAAGCAATATATTATATATATATATGTGTGTGTTAGTCTGTATTTTATGCATTACTACAACTTTCATTCGATAGCCTTGACAGTTTAGAAAGATGTTGAGAATACTCCTGGGTAGGTGTCAGAAAAAAAGCTATACACTAGAAATACGATGGGCAAAAATAATAGTATATCGATCAGGCGCGCCCTCCTGTGACCCTGCATGGTGGGTCTTTTTGCGCCCCTGGCTCACCCCTGAGCATCATGGAACATACGTTCGTTTGAAAAAAGTGTGATAAGTTTTCGTATTATAGTCTTTCACAAAATTAAGATCAAGGTGCGATTTGGCTCCCTGCGCGATCCTGAGAGCACTATGGCGCCTAGGTTAGTTATAACGAGCACTCTACAATATTGACAAGGCGGCACACAACTTTCCATGATTTATCCGAGATAGGAACGTAGACGGCGCCCCTGCTGTAGTGTAATATGGGGCTATATAATCTTCGTTGTAATTAGCACAGGGCATAACAAATGAATCCTAAAAATGAATAAAAAACGTACTCAAACAATTGTATAGTCAGACAACAAAAATGCCCCAATAATTGTACAGATAAAAATATGTTTAAGTCACTTCTCTGTACAGCTCAATATAATGGTTTTTTGCCTAAGGAGAAAGTTGTTGATACATGTTTTGCTTGTTGCCATACGTTTCATGTGAGTGTATTAAAATGTTGGTCGGAAATTACCACAACAATGCGCTTTCTCTAATACCTCAAGTGTCATACTTCACACCACACTAGTAGGAAGCTAAATATATATATATATATATATATATATATATATATATATATATATATATATATATATATATATATATATATATATATATATATATATGTATATATATATATATATATATATATATATGTATATATATATATATATATATATATATATATATATATATATATATATATATATATATATATATATACTTTAGTTTTGTATAATCACAACCTAGTTAATTCAATAGCACGTCATTAAATTCGAAACAATTTATAATATTTAAAATAGACGGCAATATATATATAATTATTATCTTAACTTTAGTTTACACCAAAAAATATGTCCATATTACTAACAGATTTGTTAAGCTGTTTTTTAATTGCATTTTGTGTTTATATATTATATAACTTTTGTTATTATTTAAAACAGAAAGAAATTATACGCAGAATGAGTCTGGCATATTGCCAAGTCCTGGATATCCCTTACGATTTTTGGATAAGCAGGAATATACATGGACTCTATCCACTCGTACTGAATCACGTCTTATTTTAAAGTAGGTTATTATGTCACGTACCGTATATAACCTTTGTACCAAATGTTATTGACATTGTATAAAACATAGTACTGGTATAAAATTTTTTTTTTCTTTTAGCATATCGTCCGTGTATATAGGGTTTGATGGCGCATGTCATATCACTGTGTACGACGGGGCTACTACGAATGCTCGAAATTTTAAAAGACTTCGTGGTTGGAGAGACTCAGCAGTTATTGTGTCGACAACAAACCACTTGTTGGTCACTTTTAAAACATATTCTAGCTTGACGAGACAAGGATTCTATGGAGAGTTTTATATACACGGTAAGTATATAATAAAAATATATTACTAAAGAATAGTATATCAAAAGGTCCTGTTAAAATGTCACAATGCCATATGATTATTTCTTTGTTTTTCTTTTAAGTATTACTAACCCTTGCATCCGATCATCATAAAACTTTGCGAAGTTGTATTGAATGTCTTCAGGAAAGATTTTTGAGAAGAATAAATAGTTTTTTTTTCGCTATGACTGGTACATACTGGTCAGAAGCTGTTTGGCGCCAAGAGCTCTCTTTAGGCTAGACATAGGTTGATTTTGCATCCTGCATAGCCGGCCGGGGATACAACTTGACTCAACTGTTAAACTGCTCCAGTCTCAAACTGTCAGCCTCCGGAACCACTTAAAGTACTATAGCTCTCAAATTTTAAAGAGTGCGATACACTATTAATAAAATGGGCTTCTATAATCTTTGACGTAGTCAAACTAGAAGCGTTCACCTGCGCCCCATCCTCTCACCCCTTAATATTTAAAAGCTGAGTTCTAAAAAAAACTATACTATTAATGATAACTAAGTAAATGAATAAGATTCATATAACGATTATACTTTGTACGGTTTTTAGAGTATTCAATATACCAGAATGTTCTAATGTGATGTCTTAAAATCTTTACTGTATAAAAGGTTCTTAAAAAGTTTGAAATTACAATTAGTTATAGGTATAGTATATACAATTTTACGTAATATTAATACTTGTATAAAATTAACATAGCGATCGTTAAATTGTGAAAACCACAGATAGACATATCATTTTGAACGAGTCTCAAGGTGTCATCTCTAGCCTTGGATATCCGATTGGCCACCTAGACACCATGATATACAATTGGACTATATTAGGAGACCTTAATAGCTACATTGTCCTTAAGTAAGTTGTATATCTGTCACGTTATGTACCGTATACACAAAAAATGATGTAACTAAATTCCTACGTGTTTGAATGTGTAAGTATCGAAGAATTTAATTTTTTACGAGTGTGCTTAGTATAACATTGTAAGTTAAAATTGCAATACTTTTGTTCTATTACAGTATTTCATCGTTGGAATTAGGGATTGATTGTAAGTATGATTACCTAAGAATATACGACGGACCCACAACATCTTCACCTATGTTTGGGAGTTTCTGCTCGTCAGTACAACCAGAGTTAATGGTTTCAACGGGAAACTCCATGTTTGTTGTGTTAAAAACGAATAGTACCAAAAAACATTCGGGCTTTTATGGAAATTATGAGATAAGAGGTAAATGTTATTTTTGACTCTACTACCCTGACAATGTTTACTTAGATGATTGAGAGCTACGAATATTTTAGCCATGAGATTGAACTCACAAGTTTTTAAGCAATTTGCATGACAAGATTTGTGTCATTTCAAAACTAGGATAACACACAAATGTTTGTCGAAACACGATATTGATTCTGTATCTGGAATAACTACTGACCATATGAATAGTACAGTAGTAGATTAAATTCAGAATCAATTTCTTTACAATGCACGCTGAATATATTTTGCCTCAGAGCACTTTTTCATCCATAGCTCACCCATTCCACAATTGTTTCATTTTTTTCGTATAAACGAAGTATAGAGAAAGTCTTGTAATCGTGAAAAAAAAATTGAGATTTTTACAAATCTCGACGTTTTATACCTCACTGATACGGAAAACATAATTTTGCAATCTTGTCCGTATGTCTGTGTGTGTGTGTGTCTGTGTGTCCGTGTGTAAACACGATAACTTGAGTACCGTTACAGCTAGGTTGATGAAATTTCATATATAAGTATATTATCAAAAATCGTAGATCCGTGTCAACTTTTGAGCGATTTCCGATAACCGGAAGTGGTACTTTTTCTACTTTGAATTTTTCAAAAGCCTATAACTGAAGTTCTTTTTCAGATAGATACATTAAATTTCACAAGTAAGTAAAAGATCTAATTCTCTCCATTCTATTAAATTTTGAGTAATTTACGTTGACCGAAAGTAGTAATTTACGCTACTTCCGATTTCTCAAAAAAACTAATGTAAATTTTTAAAGTACTAATAATATTGCGCACTATTATGCACTTTTGTAATTGGCGTTCACTTGGTGTACAATTATTTTGTCTACGAGATTTTATTAGATTTTTAAAACTTTAAGTATTGAAAATGGTTTATAAATCATGTCTATAGCCCGAGTTCCCATACCCTGTTATTTTATATAAGAATATTCGAGAAGGTTTAGGGGAGATCACTCCCGGTTATTTCCAGTTTCGGATGCAGATGTTTTCTACACATGTCTTGGTAGAATACAAAGCGTAACATTGATGTGTGATGCATCAAAACTAGCGCATCCAAAACAACAATATTTTTCCCCCAATAATTCTGGGGCCCTGTCCGAACAAACGGCTAAACCATATTCCACGAAATTTGGCTTTTGAAAATTAAGTAATCCACGCGTTCCTTCCCATAAACCAGTTATTTTTAGCACGTCGACTTTAACAGAGCTCACAAATACAGCAAGCTTCTTTAGATTTTCGCCGGTTGGTTTTTCGAGTTTAATTTGGAAATAAGCCGGGATTGGACGCCAAGATGGCTATTCTCTTGTCCTCTATTATGTAGATGTTTTCGGCATTTTAGTGTACCTTATCTTGAGCCGCTTTTCCCAGCATGGTATTTTACATCTGCAAAAGTAGCTGCTTTTATGTCCAAAATTAATTCTTGTATACGGAAACATAATAATATGAGATTACAATTTGTCTTAGTTTTTCATAATAGCCTAACACAATGCTCTTAATGTTTAACAGAAAAAGTTAAAAATAAAAAGTTGAGGTAATTTATTATACATGTTGCTCACACGTTTCTTTTAAATTTAAATTAATGATTTGCAGTTTTGTTGCTTCATAATATTATAACACGGTTTTTCTATTTACAACACAACCACATGTAAAACAGACAGACACTGTACACTTAATGAGTCAGGCAAGTTGGCAAGTTCCGGATATCCCTTAAGTAATTTGAAAGCGGAGGAACTTTCATGGACTCTAAGAACACATGCTGCATCACGTCTTATTTTAAAGTAGGTCATTACAGTGGCGTAGCAAGGTCGGGTGTTACCCGGCGCGGCACTTAATCGTATCACCCCCATAGGCGTAGCGACCCTTCCCGGGGACAAACTTTCAAACTTTCGATTTGCACCCCCCATCCTCATGTTTTTCTCTATATATATTTTGCAATTTTTGCCTTGGTGTCACCCCCCTAAATGGTGTCACCCGGTGCGTTACGCAACTCCCCGCCCCCCTAACCCTAACCCTACGCCTCTGGGTCATTAACTTAGCATGGAATAAAAAAGCAGGTGACGTTGCAAAAGAAAAAAACATCTTAGTATTTTTAACAACTATTTTGTCTTGTAGCATATCGTACGTGAATACACAGTCTTGTCACGGAAATTACATCACAGTGCACGACGGAGCTACTAAGAATAGCCGAAAATTTAGAAAAGTTTGTGGTGTAAAAGGCTCAGCAGTAATTGTATCGACAACAAGCAACCTGTTAGTCACTTTTATATCATTGGGTTATGTAGAGTACACAGGATTTTTTGGGGAGTTTTATTCACATGGTAAGTAAATAATAAACGTTTTTATTACTACTTATAGTTTTTATAATATTATAAAAGGCATTTAATGGTTGGCATATAGACACGCCTGTAGAATGAAAACCTTTGAAGCACTGATCCACTAACTATTCCACATCTAAAACCATTCAAGTGATATACAGTGACCAACCATCAAAAACATGAACAAATCCAATGGATGAAAAATATTGCTTGCTCTGACGTTTAATATTATTACCTCTTGGTGACTCGATGAGAAAAATGTACTTAAAATCAAAGAACTGAAATACAGAATATACTTACGTGATTTTTTAAATATATTTACTTCTCTAGCATACATAAAGTAAATGCTTTTTTACTGGTCTAATGATACTGTTAGCAACGGAGATAGTTTTGATAGGCAAGGAAGAAATATTTTTAACTTAATTAATCCACTGTTGGATAATACGGAAAATTAACATATAGAAAACAAAAAAAATACCATCAGAAAATGGGGTTGAATAAGACAGTCATAAAGACAGTCAGTAACATCAATAGATGGTGGAATGAAACAGTCTCTGTTATGATATGGTATGATATGGTACATAGCTGGATTATAAGTTTATTAGAATAAGACCATACGAGTGACGCACAATAGCAAATTAAATTATCAGAAAAATTTATTGTACACATTGAAATACGACATTAGTATTTCGTTGACTGGTTAATTGTACAATGAAGAAAGCTAAAGAAAACAAACTGGAATCCAACGGACACATTAGCTCGAAGTGTTGGATTTTACAGATATGCGAAATGCAAATGTGGAGTTCAAATGCATTGTCAACAACATTTTATTTGGACCGTTTACTGAATGTGAAGCCTTACATTATTTAGAATTCTTTAAAATAATATATTTCGTAATTTTAAAATTAACATTGTCATCACTAAGCTGTGATAACCACAGAGGGCCATATAATTTTGAACGAGTCTCAAGGTAACATCTCTAGCCCTGGATATCCGTATGGCAACCTGGACAACAGGATATACAATTGGACTATACAGGGCGAAGTAAATAGTTACATTGTTCTTAAGTAAGTTGTCTATATTTTTTTAAGTTTCATTAATATAAACACATATCATAACCAATTTCTTTTATGTTAGTATGTATAAATATTAAAGAATATAATCTTCCGAGTATGAATCACATAACATTGTAAAATTACAATATTTTTTTAAAATTGCAGTATTTCAGATTTGGAATTAGGGAATGATTGTAAGTTCGATTACCTAAGAATATACGACGGGCCCACAACATTGTCACCGTTGTTTGGTAGTTTCTGCTCGTCAGTACTACCGGGGATAATGGCTTCAATAGGAAACTCCATGTTTATCGTGTTAAAAACGAATGGTCCAAATACATATAAAGGCTTTAGTGGAAATTACGAGATAAGAGGTGAATGCTTGGTTATACAGTGTAACGAGATTTAACTTCGGTGTATTGTACGTAGATTTTAAGGTTTTATAAGTTTAAAGTTTTGGTAATTAGCTGTATATTGTCATTATGCGTGTCCTGTTAAAATATTTTTTATTTACAGAGAACTTTGTAATCAAATTAGTAAAA